GCCCCCCAGGAAGGGGAAGGCAGGCAGCGGGGTGGGGGAGCGGAGCCGGGAGGGGGGGCCCAGGCGCAGCGGGACTGCGGCTCCCCGGGCACCGCAGGCACCGGCCCCGGGGGAGGACAGGCCCCGGAGCCCCCCCGCCCCGGGGAAGGGGCAGGGGACACTTTTAGCAGCAAAGGCCTCGGGGGGGGGTGCGAGGGGCCCGGTGGGCGTGCGGCCAGCTAAACACCAAAAACCCAAAAAGAAATAAAAAGGCAGAGGGGTAAGCAAAGAAACGGGGAGAACAGCTCCTCCCACCCTCCAAAGCACGGAGTTAAACCGGAGGGGGGGGTCAGGACGTGACACCCCCTCCCCTCCTCTCGCAGAGCAGCAGCCCCAAGCAGAGCCCTCCCAGTCTGCCCAGTGCCAGGCACAGTTCTCCCAGTCTGCCCAGTGCCCGGCAGCACCGGGATCCCGCTCCCTCGCCGTCCCCGTGCCCGGCCGGGGGGGGAGAGCCATCTGGGGGACAGTTCGGTGGCACGGCTGAGGGTCCCCACGGGCAGCTGCATCCTTGGCACGTTGGGATGGAGCTGGGGCGGCCAAGCCCCCCGCCCCGGTGCGGTCCGGCCCCCGCCCTCATAGGAAGCCCTCCTTCCGGAACTGCTCCCGCAGGATGTCCCTGTACTGGTCGAAGCCGCCCTCGATGCGGGTGACGGCGCCGCTCTCGCACACCCACAGCTCCTGGCACAGCAGGCGGATGAAGCGCTCGTCGTGGGACACCAGGATCACGCCGCCCTGACGACACGAGGGGGAAAAGGGGGGCTCAGGGGGGGCCAGCGCAAGCGGCACCCGCGGCACAAGGGAGGGCGAGTGCCGGGTTGGTCCTCTGGGCCCCGGCACCCGCAGGGAGGGAGAGCCCAGGCACAGCCAGTGACAGCCAAAAGGTGGCTGGAGGAGGCCCCGGGAAACCTCAATCAAGCGTCTATTTCATGGGAAAACTGCCCCAACCCAGGCCACTGCCAACCAACAAGGCTGATGGCAGTGGTCTCTGGAGCTGGGGTCTTGGGAGATCAGCCACAAATGGTGCTAACGGAAGCGGGGAGAGGCCCCGAGGCAGGGCTGGGCACACACACAGCACACCAGGAGCCACAGGGTGCAGGTGACTGGCCAAGAAGGGGGACAAGGCACTCTCTGCTCTGCTGTTGCCACCTCAGCCACCTCAGCTGTCTCTCGGCCACCCTCAGCCAAAGCCAGCAAGTGACACAAGCCACCAGAACCAATAGCTACAGCAGAAACAGCAGAAACACAACTGACTCTTCCCAAGGTGTGTCTTGGACTGGAAGCCATGGCTGGTGTTCGAGTGTCCCCTCTGGCTGACAGACCCAGGAACCCGCGCCGCAGAGAGCGCTGCAACAACCGGAGACCCCACCAAGGCCTTACCCGGAACTTGTTCAGTGCCTTCGCCAGCGCCTCGATGGTCTCCATGTCCAGGTGATTTGTGGGCTCATCCAGGATGTAGAAGTTCGGACTGGAAGAGAAGACATCTCTGAGCAGGCATTGGGACAGGCCCGGGTTGGTCGTGCTGCAGGGACCTCCACCAGGCTACAGCCACCTGTATTGTCCCCTGCCCAGCTCCAGGGACACCTCTTACCCCTGTGAGCCCAACGCAGCAGGAGAAAACCACCAGCCTCCCTCCACTCCATCCCACCTGGGTGACAACCTCCCTCCCCACACAAGTCCCCAGGACTAGGCTTCCACGGGAAGTTCCCGGATGCCCACGTCCTCCTGGTGACACAGGCTCCAGGGATGGAGCCGTGCAAAAATTAACAGCATCTGGGAGAAAATTACCAGGACATGGTCATCTGGGCAAAGGCCACACGGCTCTTCTGACCCCCGGACAGGCTGGCCACGGGACGCACCGCCAGCTCCCCCGAGACGCCGTAGCTCCCCAGGTGATGCCGGTACTCCTCTTCCGTCTTCCCTGCAGGAGTGTGTCACAACACAGACATGGCACATGCGGGGTGACACCGAGGACCCTGGTGCCGTGTCCTTGCTGGGTGCCATGGCTTGGCACGAACTCAGCAGCCACTTCCAGGCCATTCCCTCCCAAGCAGGAGGTTTTGGGGAGAACACCTGACTGACACAACCAGGACAGGGGCTGCAGGGGGGTGACTGACCCCAAGAGACGCTGCCCCCCATTCCCCATCACTGCCTGGTGAGTGGGGATAGGAGTGGGAGGTTTTGGCAGCCGGGAAAGGGGGAGCCAGTGGTTGTTCTGTGCTCGGCAGGAAAGCAGGTCATCTGTCCCCAAAACCTGGTCACGGGGGAGCCCCAGCCCAGCGACTGTCCCCGCACAACCTGCTTCGGTGTCCTGAACTGTGGCTGGATGAAGGGATTTAACCCAGAGCAGGCGGTGTCCCTGAAGGATGGAGGTGACAGAGCCTCTGCCCAGGCGCTCTGTGGGGGTCAGAGGAGACCCCGATGTCCCACCTCTCCTGGGATCCTCAAAACTCACCTGGGAACTTTCTCGCCAGCAGCTCCACCGCGCTGATGTTCAAGTCCAGCTGATCCACGTGGTGCTGGCTGAAATAACCGATCTTTAGGTTCCTGCAGAATGAGAAGAGAGATGAGGAGCTGGTACCAGGCCCTGCGACGACAGCACTCGCAGGAAGGGGGGCATATGGGTGGGTGTGCAGGACCCACCTCCATCACCCAGGCAGCCCCCACTCCAAAGCACACCCCAGCAGCTCTCCAGCTGCACCATTCCCCCCAGTCCCCCAGCCCTTCCCAGTACCTGTGAGCATGTCTGATCCCTCTCACTGGCGCCAGCTCCCCCATTAAGATCTTCAGCATGGTTGACTTGCCAGCTCCATTTTCCCCAACCTAGAGAAGCAGCAGCAGCAGTGGAGAACGTGAAACCCATGAAGGTAAGTTGGAGAGGGGGCAGTGATCAGGGAATTTCAGCTTGCTTGGATGATGGTGCAGCGGAGCAGGGCAGAATGAGAGACAAACCAGCGGCTCCAGCCACCTGGAAGCTATGTTTCTATCACCGAGGAGCAGCAGAGACAGCAGCACCAAAGGACAGTCCCTCCCCAGCCCTCCAGCCTAAGGATTACCTGGCCCCAGCCCCATTCACAGGCAAATGGCACCTCTCTGCTGCCCAACCAGTGCGGCAGGAGCCCCCACCTGTTGACATGCTGCTGTTGTCAGCTAATGAACAAACTATGATGGACCCCGACTCTTCTCAGAGGCGCCCAGTGAAGGATGAAGTGCAACAGGCACAAGTCACAAATTCTAATTGGTATTAGGAAAAATGTTGCTCGT